TTAAAAAATATTTAATTACAGACCACATATTTTATGATGGTATTCACGTTATATGACTTAACTACTGTTGAACTAAAAAAAAAGTACGATTTTTTCCAAACAAGAAGTATATTAATAATCTTTTCCAAACAGGAACTAAGGTCGTTGGTATAGTTCAATCTTCACTTCATCTATATTTTAAACATAGTGTCTTTAATATTGTCGAAGTATTTTAGCGAAACATTTTTAGATTCAAAAATTTTATCAGATTTGTTAAAAGAAGGTATTGCTCCATGTTTATTAGGAAGCTACAACACACTCAGCTTGCATGATCTACAAAAGTGCTGCGAATTTTTAATGAACCTGTAACTATACTGTACAGGTTATGTTCTTTATTAGCTTTACTTGAAAAATTTTCGTGAATGACTCATAAAGGAGAATCGATTTTATTTGTACCCTTTGTAACATTAATTGATCACCTAAGTCACTTTCAGACTCTCCAGTCTGCTATAGAGTATTGCAACATTATTTCGTTTATGTATTCTTAAATGATTATTGCCAACGTTCAAACGTTTTAATTAAATAATTCATTGGTACATGTGAATTCGAAATTAAAAGTTGTCAATCAAGTATTTGTTCAGAACTCCAGATTAGTTAAAACAAGAAAAAAATTAACTAGATAATTATTCTTAAATTTCCACAACTTGAAGAAAACTATATTCGAAAAGAGTAAGTTCTAATGCAGAAATTTTTAAGTATATGAATCAATTTACTTTCATTGATTTGATATTTGTTTATCGCGGCGTAATAAATTTCAAGAAAGAAGATCAAATCTACTTCGAATACGTGAACTACAAAAACTTTACTACAATTCAAAATATTAATAATTATACAGTGACGTATCCACTACGTTTCATTCGTGTGCAATGAAAAATCTTTGAAATGTACTTACGAACTTAATTAAACGCCACTCGTGCGATTCAACCGGTTGGTAGGCGAGCGAACACAATTTGTCAACGCACTAATAAATAACACGAAACCCAAAAATTCCGACGTATCCGTTTTGTATTGCAAATCATGCGATAACCAGTTTATTCAACGAGAAAAATCACGAAACGAAGATTTTTTAAACCGTCAAAAAAGAATATGTAGAACGGAAAGTAACAATGTAATGTATTAATTAAGAAGAACTAACTCGACAGATAGTTTCTTCTAGGCTAGTAAGTTCAACAGAATACCTAAACCGTTACAAAAAAATCTTCAATCACTAGTCCGTTTATCAAACCTCACTAATTATGTGGACACTATTAAGATGGCCGGCCAAGGTCACTTTCACGATTCTCCATGACGTTAAAAACCACCCTCTCACTGTCGCGGGTCCTACAGATGTGAACTTTCTTCGAATGTTACATTAGTTCATTCCAAGGGTAGTTTCCCCTTCTCCACGCATTGTGGTGTTTAGGTGGGGTAGGAAGATAAAGTGGGGGTAAATGCCTCAAGTTCTGGTACCTGTCATGTAGCAGTTATGGTTTACCATCTCCTGATTTATGAGTTACTTTTCTGACACATTTCGTTAATGAATCTATAATAAAACCAATTCATCTGTCCACTTGCTTTATAAGATCGTTATTTCACTGTAGTCTCGTAAATGTTTGTTTCTCTGTTATTGGTTTTAACAAATTTGGCTAAAGTAAGGAGCTGAGCTCGTAGCTTGTATAATATTTCCAACTAAAACACTCGTAAAATTATCCGTTGCTACATGAACGACTAAAACTAAAAACGAGAAAAATCAGTTGGACAGAGTTATACTTATTAATGTCTTTGACCAACCATCTTTTTATCAGCGCTCATTATAATCCATCCACATCTGTATTCCTTCATTTTAGGAAGCTCCTCTTCGTCAAAAGATTTCATCGAACGATTCAGCTAAATGTGAGATGTTATGTACCAATACCGTGATCTACCATCGAGACATTATTATTCGTACAAAACCGACGCGGACTAGATTCTTTTTAACCAACATAGTAAGACAAATAGACTTAACAATATTCTTATATCAATAGAAATAACCTCAAATTTCGTTAAAAAATCCGTTTCCGTTCGTTCGAGATGTAGGTGTCAAATGATGCTGCTTCTCCCAGTTTATTTTATATACAAACTAGTCGTTTTATTTATTCTGCGAAAATGAATACGAATAAATATCTTTCTGTCCGTCTAGGTGTATCTTTAACAATCATCGCCTAATTAACGAGACTACGAACTCGCGCGGCGGTTCGGTTTCGGCGGACTTCCGATTTCCGTTCAATCGTACAATATCGTTAAGTACACCGTGTACATCCTCGTCGGCGTAATACAGGGTGACGACTACACCCCACGGAGAACAAAGAATGGCGGGACCGATGACGACCGGAACCGTTGGTCGTCACCGTTCACTCCGGGGGAATTCACGTGGAACACCGGACCGGTTGCGTCCGGACATGCGAAATTGGGGGTTATATAATTCACAAAATAAGTAAACTTACGTTTAATCGAATCTTTACGAAAGAAAATAAAATATTTTGTACAAATTATATGGGTCGTCGTCGTTGCGCTCTGTGTTCACCCGAAAATCATCGTTTTTCGCGGAGAAACGCTCTCCTTTCGGACAGACCGCACACGCGCGTTTGGTTCGATTCCAGGTATGAGCCAACCCTCGACTATTAACAGCAGGTCAGAGCCGTGAAAAAAGTACTATAAAAAGCAATGTAGCTGTCCAAAACGGACGTCCCGCCGACAAAATTCTTGTCGTCACGATTCTCGTCGACGATTCTTGGGCCTGTACGTGAAGCCTCACTGCGCGCTAGAGTGTGCCCTGGGAATAACAAGATCGTTTCGAAAATTTTTTCTACCCGAGATTAGCGTGTTGCTTACTTTGAAAAAGATACAGATGAACGACGTGTCATGAGTGTTCGTTATACCCCCCCCCCCCCCGGACCACTCACGACTTCGCGTACCAGGCCTCAAGAATCTCACCGTTGCAGTAGATATAGTTAGCTACCTATGAACATTTTTGTATACGTGCACGTATACATCAATCAATATAATAACATTTAAGCGACAATATACGCATCACAATATATCGTTCGGCGTGTCACGCGCGATCCGTAACCCCGCTGAATGGATCTCGCCGATCCATACACGTAACCTGACGCCCTGCTTTTTTTTTTATAACCGACCAAAAGGCGGCCCTGTACGAAAAGTAACTAACGGCTCGAAGAAGAAAAAGAAATTATTCGATCAGTCGATTGTTATTTATACATGCTTGTGTTTGTGTGTGTATGTGTGTGTTGCGTATGAATGAATACGCATGACTGGTGGTACATGTTAATATCGTTATGTACGTACTTAAAAACATCATCGTACCCGGGACTCTCCGTACACTCGCTTTCATTTACAATTCATGTTCTCGGGGTGTATGTGTGTTCGCCATGTATAAAGCTCTGATCCCCGCGCACTCGAATCCTGGGGGTTTGGAGAAAGGGGATTTCGGCGAGCATTGTCGCGATAAAATTTGTAAAACTTCACTCTCACTTGCACTAATGTCGCGTGTCGTTCAAGACTGTAGAAAATTATTCCGTGGAGACAGTACCATTTCGTACATAAATTTACCGTCTAACTGTGAATCGTTATTACTCGTATTATATATATATATTTTTTTTCCTCGTTTTATTAAGCATACGTTTTCGTTTGTTTCTTTGCGTACATAGTATACACAATTAACAGAATTTGAATGCTTTTCTCGGTCGGGTGCATCGTGAACGTGTCCGAAACAAGGAAGGGCAAAGAGACCTGGGGTCGAACCTTTTATCACAGTATCGTATTACTGTAGTACAGAAGCTCTCGGGGCGAATCGGTGCGAAACGTAGCGCTGGCACGCGAAGTTCTCTCTATTTCTCTCGTTCTCTCTCTCTTTAGTTTCCTTCGACACAAGCATACACACGCATTCTTTCACTCGAACACCTTTCGCACACATTGCACCACGAAGGAAGCTGGGAAGGCACAGTGTATGTACACATGTTGTACGTACAGCACCGAACGACGATCAATCGGGGTGGGGTGAGGGGGGGGGGGACAATCGCCAGTACTCGTGGTACACGTCATTTCAACGTCGATGATGAAACGTCATCGCGGTCTGGGAAGGGGATCATACAATTGGAAACGCTGATAACACAGGGCTTACGACGCACGAAAAAAGTCGAGGGGAGAATCCGCGAAAAGCTTTGTTACCTCGCGAAAAGAAAAAAGGTTTCGCCAATCCGGATTTCCGTCGCAGACTACATAATCGCGAGCATAATATCTCCTTTGAATCTATGAATTTTACAGGGCAACAACAAATCTTTTCCCGCATTCGGATCGGTGTCCATATAAATGATGGAAATTTATACTAAAGATAATCATTACGTTAATGATTAAAAGCAAAAAGTCTTTTTCTTTTCGTTCTGAAGGTAACATAAAACACTAAGTACTTCCTTCGATTCTGCTGGCAGTGTTTCCGGATCACTATTTCCCCCATGGATTCCGAAAACCCACGGGAGACCGAAACGAGCGACGTTCACGCTCCCTCATAACACCACTGACTAGACCCCATCGGAAGTCCAAGTTCCTGATTCCTTGCAGTGCGATGATTTTAATCGTAAAAACGAGGACACGGCCAGACAGAGTGCAGACAATTAAACTTATGATCAATACCGTAAAAATGAACATGATCGCGTGTGGGTGTGTGCGTTGACTACATCAATACCTACTCTCGCACTTTCAATGATCTCGGATAGCGTTTGATTATCTTATGTTATTCTTAACGCAAGACGTGATAGACGTCGAGCTTACAAAACAAAAAAAAAAATAAAAAAAACGTTAAATACCACTGACTAGACCTGGCGGATGTCGATCCGCTCTTCACGTTTCTTTTTTCTATGAAATCTCATTTAAACATCATCAGGAAAGTACAACAGTATTATTGACTAGTCAAGAGCCGGGTGGGAAGGGCAGGGGGAGAGGGTTGGGGGGTGCCGTGACAACGAATGGATGAGTTTTTTTCGATGCTCTAAACGAATCGAGTACCACGTAGAACTGTGTGCGTTCACCGTTCGCAGGCACAAGAATTATATATATATATATATATAAAAAAGAAAAAGAAAAACGCTCCTGCCAAGTGATTCCCTATTTTCCCTCTCTTAACGAAACGACGCTGTTCTTGGACGCATGGCGGCGTACTTTGGTAAGACTGCTGGCGGCGATCCACGTCGTTCGAGTGTCCGTTGGCAGCCCACGGGACGGAGGATCGTCGGTTGCCGTGTCGTGTTTCACAGATCGGTCCTCTTGGAGGACGACGAGGTGGAAGAAGAGGCGCGAATGGACGTGACTGAATACCTTCACGACGGGCCGTAGGGATCACCTGCACGGGGCTAGGAGTACTTCGAGCCAACACGGACAAGACGTAACTTCCTGTCTTGAGTACTTGGGTCCCCAGCCTTTGGCGAAGCTGATGCGGACGGAGTTGATATCGACAGGACCAGAGGCGAAGCCTCCTGCCTGACTGGTTGTTCTTGTGTTACCACTGCCATATGGAAGCTGTAGTATTTTGGTGCGGTCGAAGATGTTCAGACAGAAACCCGGCGGCACACGGTAGACGAGCAACGTTCGAGACTCCGGATCGTCCAGGGTTGGTGAATTCACGAAGATCGGGCTCTCGGATCTGTTGTATGCCCACACACCGTCTGTTTCTTGACTAAGCATTAATCCTGTAAACGAGTCATGATTTGTGTCAATTTCCAATATCCTGTATATAGGTACCATTAATATTGTTTGAACTCTTGACTACAGACCACTCGTTTCAGAGACGAATTTGAATTTTTTTTTCTTTCACTGGCGCAACCTAGCGGAGAACTTTGGAAGTTCTAGCGTTTGAGTACTTTCAGTTGACAGTAAGCGGTACACTGTATTTCCAAAACGGTAACCAAAAGTAACATTCGGTTTGATATTAAAAGTATTACGAGGTAGTTGTCGGATTTTTTATTTATGAGACGAGTCGTTTGTAGTTAAAGCTTAAGCTTTAAATTCTGTATTATCTGGGAAATAAGCGTGGAGTACAAAAGAAATGAGACTCTTACCAAGACCAATTTTGCTCCTCGTTCTTTGGACTGCAGGCGATGCAACATGATTTTCGGCTAACGTTGCTAGGCAAAGGCCATCACCATCGTGGAGGGAATCGAATACATTTACTGTTGAAGGCTCCACAGGGTAAAGACGACCCACTCGACCACCCAGTTCCCAATATGCTAATGTACACCATTCCTTCTGACCCGTCTCACCTGTAACAAAGAAAAAGAACTGTTAGTCTCAATTCACTATTATATCAGTGTAATATATAACTGTCAATGCTTTGTGTATTTTACTGAAAATTACTGTAATCTAACTAAACAAACTGTACCATGATTGATCGCTTTATGCATATGCTTGGTATCAATATTTGAATCAATGTTGATACACGATTCCATAGTAGGATACTCGTTTACTATAAAAATATCACAACCGTAACGAAACACTTTTACAAATTAATACAAGCGATTTAATTATGATAATAACGAGAGAAAACGTGTTATTGATTCGGTGGAATAAAAATCGGTCCTGTTGAGAGCCCGTTAATTGAAATTCCTCGATAGCGTTCGCATCAAAGAATTTAATCTTCCGTTTTTATGAACAACTTCCACGAAACGTGATACGGGCATGCCTCCAAACGAGATGAGATATGTCATTAACGAGGAGTCTTTCTTTCTTGTCGAAAGTATTCGGCGAGAGGCTGCGGGCGTACAGGCGGTATCATAAAGGACTCGTCGCCGGAAAGTCCCACGCGTCTCGCCGACTGTCGTGAAGACAACGACGGCGCCAGATTCGAGAGTAGACAAGCGTGTAGACGAAAAGAGAAAAATCGCCGCAAATCGTACAAACGAGGAAAAAATTTTGATACCTAATTTCTATATTCCCCTTTACCGAAGAAATCCATAACAATAGTGAAAAAATATTTCTTCATTTTAACCCATTAAGGACGAAGCAGTGAAATAATACGATTTTCATAATTTACGTAATTACATGTCTAGGTGTAAAAATAAATAGTGAAGTAAAAAATCACGAAGCAAATTCCTGGAATTCTCTCGCCACCGCAACGTTAAAAAACAGAATTCAATCATGGTAATTGATTGAAAAAAATTGCAATTGAAATTGCAATTGAGTTTCATTAATGCAATATTGGTCCTTAGTGGATTAAACAACTGTATATAATTTTTAACACGTCCGGTGTAACACAGGGTATATAAGGATACCTAATATTAAATTAGTAACACTAACAAAAAATGAAAAATACAGTTTTTTTATATTACGGACAGTGTTCTATTAAATCGATAGCGTAACATTGTCACGCAGATGTGCACTTTACTACTTATCTTGTGTGCCTGATTATTAGTAGTTAGTTCTACTTATATTTATGTTTGTGTTCACAGTAGAATGGTATTGTCTGTTTTTCACAGAAATTTAACGTAAACCGATAGTTACTTTGTTATTAGAAGATAATAACGTATCATCGTTACTGTTTACAACAAGTTGCAACGGTATCTAATAGATAAACGCAGTACCACTTGTGTTCGAAATTATATAAGTTTGACAAATTTTAAACATTGACGTTCTCGAAAACTAAATTTTGTATAAAAAAAAATGTGATTCCACAATTTTCACTTATTTCTTCGTAGTGCTAACAGCACGTTTTCATAGCCTTAGACTATACCGAAGTTAACTTGTACTAAATTCTACTGACTAAATTGAGGATGTAAATATAATTTTACATTATTGATCCTCATAAATGTATTTGTACAGTCGTTTACAATTTTCGATTTTACTTGAAAATTAAAGAAAATTATTTTTTTAAATTATATTTAGTTTTGTAGAATATCCGAAATTATATTAAGAGAAAAGAAAATATACTGCTTTTTCATAAATTATCCTTAAACAGGTACATCAAGAATTTTTTATCATGTTCACTTTAATTAACATGTTCTCCGAACATGTTGGTGCCCGAACCTATCCTAATGTCTTCCCGATTTAAACGTGTTCGCGCCATCTTCCAACAGTCCCGCGAACTGATCGACATTCAAGCAGTAGGTAATTTTACTAATTAATGCTGCAAGTAGTCTCACCAGGCATCGTTAAATGTGCAGTATCACTATCATACTGGAATCACGATTATTGTCAACATTGTCAACACTATATTGATACGATATTTTTTGTTTCACTTGATCTCTCCTACCACCTTCATTAACGTTTGAAGAGCCGAGTATCCCAACACTACCCTATCCACGATGACTATAGCTACCGAAAAATATTACTCACGTATGGCCTACTGGATATATCAATTATTTCAACCTCTAATAATTTTCCCTCGAAGACGTCAGACTTTCCTTTATGATATAAAATTATACAAACATCACACAATTTCTATAACCGTTTGATTCGGGATGAGTACAACCATCGAAAAAGCCTACCACATTTCATTCTGTTGCAAGTTTAACATCGCTCAATCAAACGGTTAATAATCATTTAAATATACATTATCTGATAGCAATACTTCGGTAGTTGCATATGAGCCAATTATCTGGCAAAGCGATTAACTCCACAAAAGTTATCCAGGAATTTATTTTAAATACACGAAGTTAAGCACCAATCAACTGCTTTGACACTAAAATTTGAATAAATTCAATGAGTGTAGTTAGTCACTTTGGTCTGTGAACGTTTAATATACAGGGTGATTCATAAATGCATGTCAATACTCCAAGAGGCAAATTTACACACTAAAATACGTAAAAAAACGTCCTATGAACATATGTCCTATACATATACCTTAGTTTTCGAGTTATGAATGATCAAGGCCTCGTGCCCCAGCACACTCTACTGCACGCCGTAGCATTGAGTTTCGCACTCACGCGAAAAAACCAGATATTCTTCGAATTGTCTCAAATCAATTTCGTATCCTTTCTTTTAAATCGTGCCCATTATGCATTTGTGCTGAATACACAATAGTTTTTAAATGGCCCTAAAAGGAAAAGACTAATAGCTTGAGATCGTGCACTTCATACAATTTCTTTAATCATCTATAACTCGAAAACTAAGGTAAGTAATAGTTTACAATTCAATCGGTATCTCCGATTTTCTTCAAACTTTAATACGTTGAAAGGCGTTCTCTAAAAAGACAAAATATCATTTTAAAAACTGTCGCAAAGAATTAATTATATTTTTAGTATCCATTTTTTTTTTTAAATTAAACTAGCTCTGAACCAACTCTGATCAATATGATGCTTCGAAAACAAACAATCAAACCCCTTTTTTACTGTTTACTGCGTATCTTCCGTCAATTAATCTGCATTTACAGTGACGTTTAGGTTAGGCTTCGGTTACAAATTTAATTTCAAATTAAAGGTACTTATAATTGTTTGCGACATTTTAAAAAATGATATTTTGCCTTAGTAGAGAGCCCCTTTCAACAAATGAAAGTTTGAAGAAAATCGAAGATTCCGACCGAATTCTAAACTATTACCCTAAGGTATATGTATATGTAGGACCTACGTCTATATGATGTATTTTACTTGATTAGTCTTTACCCCTTAAAATACTGCCATGCGTTTATGAATCATCCTGTATACACGTTCGCAAACCCTACGGGGAGACGCGCGTACAAGCGCCCACCGCGTCCAAACAACGAAGCAGACCATCTTTCCTCGCGACACCTTGTATATTACCGAAAATCATCGGGTGTTTAGGGAGCAAGCTAAGTTTCACGCGCGACGAAAATGGTAGGAATGTCGATGGTGTACAGAGAAACGAAGCCGGAAAGACTATGGGGGCCAGGGGGCCTCGGGAATGGCCATTTCGAGCGAAGGCTGAATTTAGAGGTTAAGAGTCAGGAAGAAGAAGGAGAGACGGTGGAATACACGGGTGTGTCGCGCAGCAGCGGTGCAGCTATGTGTGAGAGAGGGAGGGGGAGGAGGGGCGGGGCGGAACCCCTGCTTCCACCAGATAAAAATAGATATTACGAGTTTACCGAGGCGCCAAGATTGCGGGGTATCGCGACGATTACGTCATCGGTAGTAGCGCGAGTGGTTGGAGCAAGGACGCCTGTCGCGTCGCCCGCCGTCGCCGTCGCCGTCGCCGTCGCCGTCGCCATCGTGGCCGTCGTGACGGACTACGAATTTTCGTGTCTATCTATTATCATCCGCAGCCGGTTTTTGAGCCAGTCCTCACGGCGAATCCCCGTTGCTCTCTCTCTCACTCTGGCTCCGTGTGTTCCGATCATGGCGCCTCGGCGCGCGCGTGCCGGCACTATCCGCGGGAGAATTCGTTCGCGTTACTCGAGAGGTTACTTACATGCTCGAACGCGTCGATACCAGAACACGAATTTATCGTGTTTGCAGACTGGCTTTCGAGCGAGCGCCAGAATATTCCCGACGGCAATGCACTGGTTCAGTTCTTTGGTCCACGATATTTCCTATTTGGGAATAAATAACTGCTGTTGCGCTATCGGTATTGTATACTTGGCCAAGAGTTTGGAATTACATAGTACTTGCTGATTTCTGATAATCCTCAGAGACGCCACATTCTGACCTTAGTATATGTAAACTAAATTGAGATTTTGCATTTTTGACGATTTAGAACTTGGAGAGAATAAAAGGAAATTGAACTCGGGACATATTTCTTAGGGTAATGTCCCACCGGAAACTGAATGGTGGTAATTGCAAACTATGAAAATTTGAAACTGTTATGATAGACAGGTAGAATGGTACAGACGAAACAATGTTTCGCCAGTGGAAATTAGCACTCGAGTGGTGTCCGAGGGTTAAAATTGAACGTTATTCTTAATTTTGTACTGACCCATATGTCCCATGTTAACCTTACATGACGGACCATAAAAACTGATGACCGTTTCAATGTCATAAAAATGAATTTCTATTCATTCGTTAGGTACATCATTCTTCAAAACATCGCGACATATTGAGCGAATGACCGACATAGGCATATTATGCGACGGTTAATATGCCAGACGGTAACAAGAATATATTTTATGTCAAGAGATTGTAGTATTTTCAATTTAAGGCGATGCTTGGCTCGACTGTTTTCGCGTTATATAGAAATACGTGATTCTTCTGTTTATCTAATGAGAGTCTAGTGCTACAATATTAGATCCTAATGCCCAGAATATGTCAGACCGTCATTAATCCTCAAGAACACAAACCGTGAATATGGAATATTCCTTTTTTTCGTAATTCTAAAA